ATTAAACAATAAATTAAATATACATATTAATAGACAGAGATTTATGCATTTTTGAAATTCATTTTTTTTTATTAAAATATTGTTGTAAACTGAATTATCTTTAAGTCCAATATCAACATTATATTTTTATGGAAATAATATAATAAATAAAATATGTTTAATATAATTTTAAATATCAGTTTAATAAGTGATTACATTAAATTAATTGATTTTGCAAATTTTTAGTATTTATTTTCACCGATTATATATAAAAAATTTTTTTAGTAAAAGTTATATAGATGATATGTTAAAAATTATTGCTGATTAAATTAATATATTTCCAGAACAATAAAAAATTAAGTCCAGAAGTTATCATAAATGTGTCAATATCTATGTTGAATATATGAAGTGAAAACTTAGTCTCCGATTTTTTCCTTTTTTTAAAACATAGCAGGAATTTCAATTTTTTTTTTTCTAAGTTTAAGACGAATTTTTATAATTTCTTTTCAACAAGTCGGTACTTCACAAAAGAAGGAATTTTTCTTGTGAAAGAACTTAAAAGTGAAACACTAACTGATAGAATTATTAGTATACTCTTTTGCAAGAGGTGGGAACGAAGCAACTACGAAAAAAATTACTGTTTATATTGAATCTAAATATATACATATATATATATATATATATATATATATTTTAATTAATATAATTTTTAATTCTTACGTTACCTGTGTATATATATATACACAGGTAACGTAAGAATTAAAAATTCAAGGCCGTAGTCATCTTTAGAACGAAACAATCTTTGCACAGTAGGATATACCTGATTGTTTAAAATGTCCACATAGTCACCACAGTTACTTGCTTTTCTAAGGTTAAGACAGGGCATGTAGGAAATCATAAGATCGCTGCTTAAATCATAACAGCAATTCATTCAATGCAACATGCCATGTGTCATGGGCTTTAATGAAATGAATTCAAGATAATGACATTGACATGCTAGAATTGTCACCACAGACTTTAACGCAACAGAACATTTATATAATCTTTTAAAGGTCTCTATGTTATCAAAGTTACCTCGTTCAATATTCCAAATATTCATCCTCATCCATATAACGTCCAAATATTATTTTTAAAACAATCTCCAGAATGTATGGAATCAAACAAAATGGCAAAAATTAATATTTAGAATAACCGAATAGTTGCTGTTGCCGTATAGTACAAGAACAATGTCACAAAATATTAAAACTATTAATTTGTCCATGTCTATAAAATCTTCGTTTTAATTTATTTTGAAATTGAAAATATTTGAATTATTATATGTTTTATACTTATACTATTGACCCCTTATTATCTAAATCCTTTTTGAGATGACAAATCATATTATTTTAAAACATTTGTATAATTAATCATATTAGGACAAAGTTAAAGTGAAAAATTCTTCACTTTGGTCAGAAATTGGAATGTAATGGTTTAGAAAAAATGTTCAAATGCGTATATAATTAATAAAACTGGGTGAGTATAAAACTTGCCCTGTTTCTAAAAATTATTACTAAATTAACAGTTGAATGTAATTTTGGTATCATTGAATAGTTGAATTACATTTTTTTTTCCGGAAAGGTTAATAAACATAATACTCATATCTAGCGATCAGTGAATTAACGTAGTTCTGCACTAGTAGTGAGAGGCAGTCGAAAAGTAAATGTTTGGTGTGGCCACATGCATAAATGCATAATAAGGTTATTGTGCCTTTTTCTTTCACGGAATAAACATCACCGATAATGTATATTTTGACTTATTGGAACTGTTCATTTGCACTTCAATTAGAATTTCAATCATGGATTATTTATTAGCTAGATGGAGAACCCCCTCACTGGGATTTCTTAGTCCGTAAGTTCCTAGACGAAAAATTTCTTGGGCTGTCGAATGGAAGGGATGGACCAATACCATGGCCTATACTGTCGTCTAATATTATTCATCTTGTGCTTTTTTAGGGGGAAGCTATTGCCAAATTGCTGATGTTGAAGAACTGAAGGCTAGGATAAAATATGATGTGTATACGGTTGCAGATGACATGTCAAAGAACATTTTAAAATAATGCTTTGACATTCTCTACTGAAGTACTTGGTCTTATTAAAAATTTAATAACAGTACTTACAATGTATCCAAGCAAACATATGTCTAATACAAGTGTCAAACACGTGTCTAATATATATAAATATATATAGTTAAATTTATAATAGTTTTTGCACAATAATTTTTTGTAATCAGGACAAGACTTTATACTTTATAGAATAAGGAAAAGATTTTTACTCTATTTATTTCAACAATATTTACAGAATTTAAATAAAATTCTATAGTTTCATAGAGACTTTTATTTTTAAGAAAACTTTTCTCAACTTCTCATATAGATGGCAGCACGATACAATGAAAAGTCGATACAAGGGAAGAAAGTTTAAATAAATAAAGCACTATTATTAAAAAAAAATATGTTTAATTAATTAATTATTCTTTATTTCTAAAATAAATATGAGAACTTTAAAACTTTATGTAATTTTTCTTATCATTGTATAAGCTATTTGAATAAGATAGCATTGGCAAATATCTCTAAATAATTTTTCTTTAACTTTCAAGATAAACAAATTAAAGATGAGGAAATAATGTCGTAAATACTTCAATCAAGTTTTTAGTAATAATAGAATTGAGTGCTGAGTTTTAATTTCTGAAATAGTTTTTATAACCAGAAAGGGAGAATAGTTTCTCCACTTCAAAGATAAACAGGTATGACTAATTTTTTTTAGGGATCATATACCGATTTTCCCCTTTATAACTTAGATAATTTTTCTATGACAAATGCTTGATATTCAGGTAATATTTTAATATCAATAATGTTTAAAATAAATTTCTTAGCTAAAGAATTTTTTTTTAAAACTTATTAATTATAAAAGAATTGGATCTCTGTTATTCAACAATTAATTTAGAAGATGAAGCCTTTGACTTAAACATTAGATTAGAATTATTTGTAATGATTCCTGATCTCCAACAAGAGTCCTTAAAATATCTAAATATTCTAATATAATTAAATACACTCTATAAAAATCTTTATTTGCAGAAAATGTGAATATTGTATAAATCTCCGCATAAACCAGTTAAATTACTATGTCAAAGCCTTGAGAAGTATAGAGTAGTTTAATCATATAATCTCTGAAAGTCTCCATTTGTTACATTTGCTTCTTTAAAAATCGCCATGTCGCCAATCGCCAAGACAAACAACTTTCTTCATCTTCAAAACTTCATAAACCGAAATTTTTATCTAAAATATATAATTATATAAATATAATAAAATATATATAATATAATTATAAGTTAATATATATATAATTTATTATATAAATATAATAAATTATATGTATAAATTTATATAAAATATATTAATTTTATATCTCCTGTTTCTTTTTGAATTAAATCATGTAATATAATGAAGTAGTTTGATAGTAATTTTTAATGGTATAACAGTTGTATTTATCATAAAGATAAAAGAGTTGTTCCCATAATTTTGATAATTTTGTAATTCTATTATCATTTTTAGGAAAAATGATAATAGAATATATCTCCAAATGAATCATTTATTTATCTCAATTCATTTTAGGAACCAGTTAATCTATATCATTGTCTTCAATTAAACTCTTCTAATAGTTCAAAATACTTATTATCCAGTAATATTATTTTTTCTTCATTATTATATTTTTTCTCCATTTTTTTTCTAATCCTTAATTATATCTTGTACAATCTCATATCTTTTATCTATGTCATTTATCTTATTCTTTTCCTCAAATCTGTTTTGATGAATCTCCTTTTTTCTTTTTTTATCAAATCAACATTCGTTTGTTACATTTCATTTCTTTGAAAGCAAATTTTATAATACACATATTTTTACAATGAACAACCAGGTCCCTTTTTCTTTTTTCTTTTTTTTCTCCTTTAGCACATTAAGAAAATCTAAAGCGTTTCGGTCAAAAGGCTTAATATCTTCGAATAATTCTTCCTCTGTAACTCTACCTTTACATGCAAACGTACTACCATACAAATGATGTAGATTTTTTATATAAGTTTTTAATTCATTATTATTTATTAAGAGTTCTTTATTACTTGAAGATTTTTTTAAAAATCTCAAACCATGTATTTCATTTGTACACTTTGTGATTTTTAATTCTTGTTCCTCCAATTCACAGTCTGGAATGAACACAGATAACGTTTCACCCATAGGTTCTCTCAAGTGAACCCAAACTATCTCTCTCGCTATCTTGCGATTTGGGAAAATGGAACCTTGAATACTGACGAGATAAGAGTTAGATCTTCTATTTATTATAATTGAAATCTGAGTCTCTACTCAAATGGTACTGTATCAATATTATCTAAAATCCTTCTTTTATCCAAACCAAACATGTATCTTTTATACGTTTCATTAACCTAAGAGTTTTCTAATACGTTTCATTAACATAAGATATTTCTACCTTTTCGTATTTGAAATTGATATATTTCTACATCTATATAATATATTTCTGTTCTTATATTAATTCTTTCTCTGAACTTGAGTTTATTTTTACTTCAGTAAGTCATTTTAAACCTTTTACTTTTCCACCAACTGTATCATCATTCAATAACTATCAATAGTCTTTACTGACAAAGGAATATCCAAGTTTTTATATATTTATCTTCACCTAATATTGGTTCCGTTGTTGTTGTTGTTTCTTATCCCACTTGGCTGGCCAAGCCCACGAGCCCCTACGTACTCATGATTGAAGGGGAAGGAAGCAGCTTCTGTTGTGATGGAGCACCCGTAGGTAGAAGCCTGACTTTTGCTCCGTGACGCTCTTACAGTCATAGGAGACCGGGACCTACGGCTTAAAGTGGATTCCGAACCACTACAAACATCCATGGCACCGCCGAGATTCGAACCCGAAACCTGTGGCACCGAGCGCCAGAGCGCCAGACACTCGGCCATTCAGGTCCCAAATTTGCCAACTGCACGCGGTGTTCCCAGGTGGTCACCCACCCAAGTACTGACCGCGCCCAATGATGCTTGACTTCGGTGATCTAACGAGAACCGGTATATTCAGCATGGTACGGCCGTTGGCATATTGGTTCCACCATCGATATAAAGAATGCTATCAGTATCAAAATACATTACTTTTTTTCCTAATTTCTCTATAATTTTATACACTTCTACTTTTATAATCTTGCTGAACTACTTGTAAATGCAGAAATATAGATATTTGTATTAAAATTGTTTTTAACATATTCATCTTTCATTTTATATATCATTTCTACACAATCATCATTCAAGAATAGCATATTCCTACTAATTCCATGACATATTCAGTTTGTTGCATATTTTTCTTTGTCCAGATGTACTCAATAAAGAATTAAAACAGATTTTAGCTGAAAATCTCATCCCTGTATTTTTTTCTAAATCTATATCTAATATCTCTTTAACACATCTGCTATATTGTTCTTCAGTTTCGAAATTTAGGTTCCATTTATTATCTGTTTCCAATTTAATTTCTTAAAACATTTTAACATAATCTCAATAAAATATCTGATTTTATATTAAAATGCTAAACTGCATGTATATTCAAAATATTATATCATCTTTGAACAGCTAAATTTATTTCTGTAGTTGTACAAATATCTATGAAACTTATTTAATGATTTGTATGATTATTTCGAGGTGCAATGTTGACCTACCTTCTTGTGGTAATCTTGGGCAAAGTTCTATACGGCTAAGTGGTTTACAGTTTTCAGCAGGATTGTCCGGTTGTGTATTGCAATGGAATGCTGGTGACTTGTTGACTTGTCTCAATCAAAAAGAACTGATCTATTGAACATCTACATCGTATTGGGATTTTCGACCAGCTAAACTGCCCTCTTTGTGATGGCAGAATTAATGAACCGAGCTCTTCTCCGTCGTTGCTTGGCACTTCATGACAAATCCGAGACGGCGAGATACTGGCAAGCTAGGGAACTCTAGAAAATGACTTTGATCAACTTTGTTGAACTCTTGTGTACATTTTCTTTTTTATTCTGTATTTTCTCCTTTTTGTACTGCCTTGCCATTGGAAATAAAAATATTCTTTATTTCTCATTTCGTAACCCTTTTTACATTTCCTTTTCTCTCTTGCAGTTTTGGTTTTGTCAGATTCCGTTTTGTGATTACATTTAATAGCGTTTGAATACGATTTACATAAATTAAATAACAATTTTCCTTTTTTATATGGCAGCACAATATGATATAATTTTCTAGGAAATATTGCCTTATATTTGATTAAACTGCAGCATTTCTTTTCGTGTTTTTCAGGATTATATATCTTTTCAGGATGTCCTATAGGATAATAATCAAAGAAATTTACAGCTATATAGAGTGAATATACATCAATATATCTACCTTTTTCTTTAGTTTCCATTTCATATTTTTATTTAGTAGGTTCACATCTACCACCATAAAAAACATCTTTAGGATTGCACGCCCTGGTCATGGCTGTTTTCCACACTATTTGTTTTCTTGAACCTGCGAATAATATTATAAGGAGTAGATTTACTGAACTTCAAGATTTGTCCTATACAAAGAGCTGATTTTTCCTTTTCCCAATGACTATTGACAGATTTCGCACATCAACGAAATATCTGTGCGGTTTGTCATTGCACCATACGCAACTTTTTCTGTTGATACTTTATATTTTAAAATTATGGTCTAAACAAGTGGTAATAAATTAAATTTTATTGATGCGCTATATATTTCTTAAAATTCTCATTTCAAAATTGTCCAAATAAATTTTTGACAACTGATTAAGTTTAAATTATATTTTAAAGGCTAAATCAAATTGTAATTCTAAAACAGTAAAAAAAATTCTTATAGACTATATGCCAAATGTTAAACAATTTCTTGATTAATTTTTTTTTATTTAATGTGATTAATATTTTTATAAATAGTTTTACATGTTATGCATGCCAAATGTTCCAATACTTTTTTGAGTGCCTGGATGCTTTTATCGTTTGAGTTACGATTATCATGAATCTAATTGGAACAGCAAACAGCTGTTTCACCTTCACTGGTGAACACAGAAGCTTTGAGTGCCATAATAAACAGAGGATAACAAGTAATCGACTTTTTAGCACGGTATAGGGTTTTTCTTCTTAAAGAAGCGCAGAGCTCTATTTCTCTTATATCAATAAAGCTGGATGGCCTGATTTCACAATTGTCTCAAATCTAGAATTTGCTAAAAGTGTGAGTGGGATTTGCTTAAAATGACTGAGTGATGACAAATTTATGAAAACTAACATTATTTCTGAGGACAAAAATCTGATATATCTATAGCTTTAAAGCAGTCTATGGTGGACACTGCAAATTTGTTGCAGGTTTCCCTCCCAAAGTTCCAGAAATACTCAAATAAATTTTGCACTTTGCAAACAAACAAGAACCAGAAGTAACGACCGAAATTCTTCATTAACTCCTGCTGAATTTTAAGCGAGCTTAAATCTCTGATAATTAGTAATGATTGACACATTAAATTTCCATTTTGTCCCAATTCTTCTATGGCTACCTAATAAAATTTCCCAACTCTCAAAACAATATATCTCACTAAAGATGCATCTGTCACACCTGAAGTTCCTGATCATTCCTTGGTGAAATAATGAGTTAGCAATAAAGAAAAAAGAATTAAAAGCCATCAAAAGACTATTGCAAAAAAGTGAAGGTGAAGACAGAACCTCAAATCGGTTTATTTACTCTGAGAAAAAAGCACTTTATAGGCAATTAATTCTTAAATCAAAGAAAACCGCGGGAAAAAATTTTCGTACACATTTTTCTAAGTAGGGAACTCCCTTCAATAGCACTTGTAGGGTCAAAATTCTACCAGCAATGTTGTTAAAAGGAAACCGGTGATCCACTTGAAGGAAACAAGTTACAACATACATCAAGCAAATTTCGGGATAGATCTCAAAATCCACATTCATAACAACTTCAACTATAAGGTATTTTCACAGATGGCCCTAATTATGAAGTCTGCACAGGCTGTGAAATTTTTTATTTCAAATATGACAAAGTAATTCACAAATGAAAGAGAAAACTTTCAAAAAATTCGTCTATCTTGGACGAACTGTTTGGTATCAAAAAAGTCTTAGAGTATTCGAAAACTTTAAATGTTCCAGTAATAATTTGGACTTACAGACAATTGTTTATCTGCCATCCTTAATCCTAAAACCACTCATCTAATGGCCAGGGAAATCCTTCAAAAACTCTTAAGTAAAAATCCATCAAATTGATTTGAATAAAAGATCATGCAGGCTTTTTTGGCAATGACTTTGCAGATAATCTCGCTAACGCAAGCGTTATAGACGGCAATTGCAGCTGTATATATAAGGAACTGTAGACGGAAATTGAAACTATATAGAAGGAATTGTCGACGGCAATTGAAGACAATTTGGCTTCATTATATATTTTCATTACATAAAAATAAATTAAATAGTTGTCTATTAGATTATTGGCAACGAGATTTGAATGATAGCAACACAGAGTGAAAATTTTTCGAAATCATATATAAAGTCTCAAAATAATCCCAGACTTTTTTGTAAAGAAGAAATTATTGTTACAAATGGACATAGTCCATTTCAAACATACCGCAAAATATTCAATCTCTTAGAAGATGATTTCTTATCTTATATCTTATCATATTAGAGAACTATTTCACTATGCAACTACATACCCTCTTACAGAATCACAGTATCTTATAATTCTCTTTCAACTTTTTTACATTCGGTGGCACAGAAATATACTTTAAAACTTATGGACCAGATAAAAAATCAGCAATTTAACGAACTTTAAAGAAGAAAATGAACAATTAATCATCCTAAGAAAGCATTACTCTTGAAATATTAATTGAATTCTCTGCGCCCATTCTTTCACTCCAAGCAAAAATATTTCATTCTTCATAGACCGAAAGCCATCATAATATTTTGTATTCCGTGCCATACTTTATTTTTCACATGATTATTACCATAATTTATTCCTTCTGTATTATATACTTTTCGTTACACTTATGCTTATATCAGTTAGATAATACCATAGCGTACTTTTCTTTTTTGTGTTGTAATTCAATGTACTCCTGTAATAATATACTTTATTTATTTTCTACTCTCACCTTTTTAACTTGTAAGGGGCTACATATCTCTGGGTACAGGGGTGATTTGTGGGGTAATAAATAAAAAAAAGAAACTATTAAGAGTGAAAAATGCTACATTTTTTTTCTGGATGCATAATTACATACTGTGAATGGTCCATTTAAAATTGTAGCGTATATGTATTTATAAAAAAAATTTCTAATTATTTGCATAATTTGATTTGGTGGTTGACATGTTTAATTGTTATTACTGAAATGTTTCAAGCTTAGAGAACCCCTTCATTGCTAAATGATGTTAATTTGTAAACTGTATTTTGCTGTATAATCTAGATTATTTATGTATATAAATTTTTTTATCTTTTATTGTGTTACTTATTTCATATGTGTGTGTAATCATCTCATGTGTGTGTAGTGTGTCATCACAAGCTTCTGGAGTTTTTTTCGAATCTGTCAAAAAATATTGGTGATAATGGGGCAGATGAATAATTAATTACTGTTATTGCGGACAAAAAGATGAGAATTTCCACTTACGATTAGGTCATTTTCTTCAGATTGAAAATTTTATTTATTTAAATTTTTTTGTTGGTAACAAAACAATTCACCATGGTTACATAAAATATATTTTCTTCTTGCACCTCTACTCAGAGAGGGCTGTATTTTGTATTGATAAAAATCAACTAAACATTAAAACTAATATTTATTTAAGCTATTAGAAACAGATATGATATTCCAAGTTTTAACACATAACTTCAGAAATTGATCATTTATAGTTGATAGGTCTGCTATTGTCTTTCTGCAGTATATATAATATTTTCAAAAAAAATATTTTTTATATATAAACATTCTGTAATACCCCTTTCTCCCAATTCTCCTTTACTTATAAAAACACACAGGCATTAAAAGATATGCCTATTTTATCTAGGCTAATAGAACAGTAATTGAATTAGTAGTAAAACAAC